GAGGGTGGTCAGGCACTGGAATGGCTGCCCAGGGAGGTGGTGGAGTCACCACTCCTGGCAGTGTTCAACATGCGCCTGGATGAGGAGCTACTAGATATGGTTTAGTAGCTTGTGGTACTGGGAATTGGAGGGTGGTTGGACTAGATGATCTTGCAGGTCGTTTCCAACCTTGCGATTCTATGATTCTATGACAACAGTGCATTCTACAAAGTACTTTTCAACCATTCATCTAGGCACTTATCCAATCAGAGCTGTGAGACGTTCTTTCTTCTTCTTGAGGTGTCCTTGGTTGTCATGCTGTTTATCTTGCTCCATGGCTGCAGTTTTTCTTGTATTCCCACAGGATGTGGTGAGGGACCACGTCAAAAGCTTTGCAGAAGTCCAGATAGATGGCATCCAGATGACACCAGTGCAGAGCAGAATGGAGCAATCTCTTCCCCTGACCAGCTAGTAAGGCACCAGATACTCCCCCGAGGATGGCTGGCCCTTTTGGATGCCAGGGGACACTGATGATATCCATGCAAGTGACCAACAGCAAGAATGCCTAAATCTCTTTCTGCAGAGCTGATCTCCAGTCTCTTTTCTCAGTCTGTACACAAATCAAGGCTTGTTCTATCCCAACTCCAAAATCCAGAATTTGCTCTTGATTGTCCAGCCCTCTGATTTGTCAAGATCTCTCTACAAAGGCTTTCTATCCTTGAGAGAGGCAACAGCTTCTCCTAGTTTGGTTTTGGCCGCAAACTTAGTATACCTTCAAATCCTATATCCAAGTCATTTATAAAAACATTAAAAGAGAACACTTACATTAAGTAATTGCATATATTGGTTAAAAAAAAGTAATGTTTTGATCTCTTAAATTTTGATAGTCTTTAATATGCTCTGAAATTCTTCTTAGTTCAATTACCATAGTAAGCTAGCTGTGTCTGCTAGCAGCAAAATATATATTTACTATCAAGATCTTCTGCAAGCTTGGATTTTTCTGCTATACAATTCATGAAAATTTGTGGTGACATTCTAGGCCAGAAAATTCAACAGGTGTCATGGTATTGACAGGCGAAGATTTTACTTTCTGTACTATAAGAACAGAGACTATTTAACATCCACTTTGCACGGACTGATGAAGATTTAATCAAAATCAATAGTATTTGAAGCTTATTCCATCAGTCCAAAAAATTACCATAAATTATTTATCTACTTATCTTTGCTCAATATATTTAATAGCTAATTGATTTTCTTGCAATACATCTTGCAAGTTTTTATTTATTTTCTTCCATTCATATTAGTGTTCAATCTGGCAACCCTCTCAGCCTTCACTAAAGAACATATTTGGAGTCTGTGAGACGGCACTAATAGAAGAGAATGTCAAGTATCTGATGTAGTGTTTTGAAAATGTACACCCTTGGCCTGGTTCTTGTGGGTAGAATGATTCCACTGTCTTCGTTGGGATCATTTCTTAATTGGGATCATCACTTGTCAGAAATAGAACTGATTAGAAAAAATGGTTTGATTGCTTCAATACAGATAAATCTTAGTAAAATGATCCCCACAAAAACCACAACACAACAACTTTGATCTTCTGCAATATACTCAATTTACCTTCATTGAATTCCTCAATGAGGAATTTACCTTCAAACACAGACTTCAATATAGACTTTCCATACCCACAGTTACTGCAGGCTGTGTCACTCCCACCAGTACTCAGACCTTGATTTTGTTTAAATAAGGTATAACATTTATTATAAAAGGTATGGAATAACTGTACAGTCTTTGGAAAAGTCAAATCTTCAATTCTTCAATTTAAAAAGAAAAATTATCTCTCTTCTCTGCATCTGACACCAGAAGGATTAATCAACCTAGTAAGTTCCTAATATGTGTTAATAATAATGGTGATTAGCTGCAGGCCAGCTGAGTTACCAAAGAGTTGATTTATATCACATCTAAAATGAGAGCTCAGGAAACAAAAGCTTTATATTTGTCTCTAGTGTCTGAAGCTAAAGATTAAATCTGTCCTTGGAATTTTTGTTTTTGTTTTTTCACAGAGAAAATTTGAGTATCTTCATATTCATTGGCAAGGCAACAGAGAACCTCAATCCCACTTGAAAAGTTCAGTTCCTCTGAGCAAAAGAGTTTTGTAAATTAAAACATAAGGAAGGAGAGAAGTTTTTCACTCTTTTACTAAGCTTCAAGTTCTATCCTCTTCCTAATCACCATACAGTGGATACATTCTTTCAGCTATCTTGTTAAATCCAAACCTAAATGATTTCTTATCTTCAAGATACTAACTCAGATTTATAGAAATAATTGTAACTTTAAATTGCTTAAAAAAAAAATCAAGAACAAATCCTCTTTCAGTTCAGCAGTACCAATGGGTGTCTTGATTTTGCAGTAGGTTGAACATTTTTATTTTATACCTTGCACAGACTTTTAAAAATGTTTCTTTGGATAGTTCAGTAGACACAAATCAATTATATTTCAATATTATATTGAAAGCTTATGGCATTGAACAAAACATAAAAGATCTGTGAATTAACTTTTTAAAAGAAAATAAAAAGAACAATGTCATACATCTTCACCTACTGAATAATCCAAGGAAACGAGTCTTCCTTAAATCATTTTAGAGACAACAACTAATAGTGAAGCATATTTAAATTATAAGCCAAGTCTCTTTCTCAGGAACATGGAGAAAGCAGAAATTTCTGGAGAAATATGATACTTTCTGAAAATATTAATGCTAAATAATACAAGTGTCAAGGTGGATTTTTGATTAACATATTTTGAAATTCCATTGGACTGAAGGGCAGTTTTTTTCTCAGTCATATTTTACATGTAGAAAAACATTTGGTAGCTGCTTGGGACAAGTAGCAGCAGTATCAGAAGTAATCCAAACTACATGACGTCTTTCAAGTTCCTCCTTGTTGAAATGAATTAACAAACACATATCTCCAGTGTTTCATATACCATAAGTGTTTCATATACCAGAAGTCAGTCCCTCTGTGATTAAGGATATCTATGACTAATTCTTCGTATGTCTAGTCAGAACAGCAGTTTTGTTAATTCAAAGTAGAGAACAACATCTGTGAAGAATGGAGTAAGCAGAAATAGTATTTTGCATTTTTTCAAGGTGTAAGCTTTTATTTCCATTTTTTATGAATATGCTTTGCTGCTACAGGATGTTCTTCCACTTCCCAGCCTATAAAAATGTAGAAATATAAATGGCTGATTTTGTTCTAGGGCAAATACAGATCTTAAGCTCTGTGCTAAGTAATATAATTATATTTGTGTTTAATGTTTAATCCTCAGCCTTGGCTATAACTAGGACACCTCTTTCTTTGTCTAAGAAAAGATTTTGGTTAGGAACAGAAATACTGTCATACCAGATCAAAGTCAGGCCTATCCACTTTGTCATCTCCACCAACACTCAAAAATAGAGAGCAACAGATAAGTATATAGAAATAAAACAATTACTTCCTTCCATTTCTCCAGCTTCAAAAAACCTCTACACGTTGAAGATGAAGTTTCAATATCACTTCTACAGAAACTCCAAAACCACAAAGTGGTTTTTAAAAAGTATTTCATTTTTCCAGTTATAAGCTGAACTCCTTTTTTTTTAACCCATGTGAACTATCTTGTTTCTTGTCACCTCAACTACCCCCACCAAAGAAGTTTGAAAACTGCAGTACAGACATGTAATTGTATTTATAGCACTAAATCAAACCTAGATACAAATTTCTATGAAAAGTTGCAGAGGCAAAAATATGATATGTTAAAATGCAATATTAATCTGTAACATGCAATGTTTTTAAAAAAAAGGGAATAAATTTTCACAAATTAATTTGATTATTGTTATTGAACACAATAACAATGCTAATGTCTACCTTCTAGAATTAGTTGATATTTATGTGATAATAGAAGAGGTGAGGTCTGGGATCTTAACAAAATGCATATTTTTTCCAGATTAAATCCCAATGGCACAGAGATAGATACATTATTCCTAATGTGAAGTTTGTTAATGATATTCCAGTCTTCTGTAAAAAAAAAAAAAAAAAAAAAAAAAAAAAAAAGATACTCAGAGGTGGCATAATCACAGAAAAAGGAAACAGTCTTCCTTCTTCTCCATGACTGAGTAGGAGGCTGAAAAAAAAACAACAACAAATGGATCAATTAAGGAGAATAAAGCAAAACACCTACTGACATAATTGAAGCACTGGCACTATTATCAAGGAGATAATCCAGTATTATCTTCTGACTGTCTTCAAAGACAGCACTCTTGTCTGCAGATATGTTAGAATATAGCACTACTACCACAAAGCCTTCTAAAGGAGGATGCTGTATATGCTAGAATATCAGTCTGTAGGAAAACAAAACAAAACAGGATTATTTGTCAAAGCCTCTTAAATCATGTACATCTACTGACTGACATGGATGCTCATGGAAATTTATCTTGAATACACATAATAGAAGTGATGGAGTATCATGGAGTGCCAGGATTTTTTTAGGTTATTTTCAAGGACACGAAACTTCCCTGTTATCAGAACACATAATAGTATTGCAACATCAAGAAAAATCTCTGATGACATTCCTTGCAAATTATTATTACTGTAAATAAGACACAATTCTATTGAGAGCACATCTCTAAGGATACAAGCCCCATGTGATATAAATTTCTATTATGTGAATTCTGAGACAACAAGAATAGACAGGAAAAAAACTTCTGAGAATGGAAGGAAAAAAAAAAGTCTTAACATAGTTTCTGATGCTCTTGGGTGCTAAATAACTGATTAGTGTTCTCAAACTGTGTAGCTAAATTTCTTTTCAGATTAAGTGATGGGAGGGATAAGATGTTCATCCTGATCCTTTGAAAAGTTGATCTCATTGCTGCTCAATCAAACTTTAATAAATTTCACAGCAATCAAAAGGTATTCAAAAATATATATCTTCATGTGCAACTCCAACAGAACATGTTGAAAGCAATTGGGCAATTAAGAACGTAGACATTTTTTTCTCATAACAATAGCGACGTATCATCACAGAATCATTGAATAGTTCGGGATTGAAAATAACTGAGGAAATTCATGCAGTTAAGCCAATCCTGATAACGGCTAATTGAGATGAGGTAGTTTAGGACTTTGTCCCATTGTGTTTTAAGGAAAAGTTTGGAATTATTTAATACAGACTCGTACAGGGAAAATTATTCCTGTCTATTTGTCAGATAGAGTGAGATATGGACACAGTGTGTCTGTGGAATTATCGAAAATTCAGCAAATTCCAAAAATACATTATTTTACTTTTAAAAAGGTTTTGTTAATGCAGCTGTGACTCAAATTTTGTTCTTTAATTACATACACAGTATTCTGGATGCAGGAGAGATATAGAAGACATCATAATGCATTATTTTTCCTTGGTAAAAAGAGGAAGAAAATACACTAATAAATCACATGATAGGACAATATAGAAGTTAGTGAGGCATAAAGAGGTTAAATTGCAGAAGTGAGTGAATAAACTGCGGACAGAGATAATTGAAATTTCAAAATTGTGGGAGTTATAAAAGTACAAAAGTACGATAAGAAGGACTTGGCATGATGCCTAACTTCTCAGAGACTGTAAGCAGGGACAAGATAACCACAAAGCAAGCAGAAAACAGTTGGGGATAGCCCCCCCTGGAAAAAGTTAGAAGTTTACATCAAGGAAGACTACGAGCCTTTGCGAGGAAGAGCACGAGCCTTCATCCAACGACCACCAGGAAAAGCCCCCCCACTGGCGCAAGGAGGAGGGACCATATGCAAAGGACTTCTCAGAAATATAATGAATATGCATACAAATTCCAGGAAATCTGTTTAATATGTGCAAGCTTGGCCTATTTATGTAATGAGCTTTTGCTTGTCAGTGTGCAGGTTAGGAGGACCTGTCCCCCTTGCACCTGGCGCACGCGTACTGCTGAAATAAACGTATTGAAATAAACATATCTCTTGGCTATAGAGTTGGATTTCTGCACGTTGTTAGATATGAGGATGCACACAAAAACAATGGAAAAATCTTCAATAAATAAAAGTTCATTCCCTTGCCATCTACTGTAGTAGTTTATGTCCTAAATGAACTGTTAAATTAAATCTACCAAATTTACTGTATTTTTATTCACAGAGTAAAGAAACACTTGAGCCCATGGATGAAAGTAAATCAAAAGATATAAATCAGAAGCCTAAGTGATGTGCTTATGACTGATTGCTCTTCATGCCAGAGTCAGTCCAGTTTCAATGCTGATATCTTTAAAGTACAGCTTGTTTAAAATCAAGAGCAATTAAAATAGTAACCCATCAAAGTCCATTTTATTCCTCAAATAATTAGAAAACTTCTAGTTTGCGATCTTAGTTTACCTGTTGCCAATTAGTGCTCTTGTGATAACCTTGTCCATTGGTTTATGAGGCTCTACCTGCTAAGTACATCTGATGCCCTCTGTGTTTTTCTTTTTTTTTCTTCTTTTTTTTTTTTTTTAACATCATTACAGTTAACTGACATAATTTAGTACATGAAAAGCCATATAGAAATTTTGAGTATGTTTGGTAGCACTAAACAAACAACTGGATGCCCAGTGAAAGCACTCTCTATCTCGAGTTTCAAAAGCACTTCATCTTATAGGTTTGTATTTACTTATGGAGAATGGCTGCCACTGTTCTAATTAAATGCCATGGAAAACACCAGCAGTATGTAACAATATTAGCCAAGAAAGCGTAATGTTCACATTTACTGCTTTTCCATACTAATTATTAATATATTAGAAGCACAATATTGTTTAATAAAGAAAGATAATTTCTCAGTCTTGATAGTAATTAAGTTGAAAAAATATTCATATTTGAAATCTTGACCGATTACTTTTTAAAAGGACTAATAATTAATATATTCTGGAATATTACCACCCCTTCTATGTTCTGGAAAATTACCATCCATTTTATGACAATGACCTTGGGAAAAAGAAAGTAAAGCTCTAGCTCCTTTTCTCTTCTATATATAACATACATTATCCCAACAGAAGTTATATAATATAATTTCATTAGTGGAAAAAGGATGCCCTTAATTGCTTTAAATAAAAATCAATTTAAATAGTAGAAGATGGAAAATGTCAAACCCTTAAAATTACTAATTGCATTTCCAAATATAATTTACCACTTACAGTACTGTTATTGACAGATTTAGAAAACAGAAATTTCATGTATCCAAGAGGAAAACTAGTAACTGGTGATACATAAATATATAAATCATACGTGATAACATTATTATTTTATTTATCTTTATGAGAGCCCTATCTAAACTATGGTATTTGTCAAAGTACTTTAAAACTTTTCCCATTTAAAAGCTATTTTGGGCAGAATGAGGTACCAGATTGGACTACTGAATTGTGCATATTTTATGATAAGGTGAGAATATCAAACCATCTGGTTATAATACATGTGCATGCATTTGGAAAAATTAAACGCACATTGTTATTAATGCTGAGATTCATGGAAGATGACATGCATCTTTGAAATTCTGGTGTTTAATCAGTGTTACTAAGCATGACTGTAGTTAACTGTCACTTTAGTAGTCTCCAAATTCAAGTAAATGAATATTTTCTGTTTAACTGTAAATATCACTGTTAAGGTAATTGCCTCTATTGCCAATAACAGCAGAATTCTCTTTAAAAAGGAAAGTTATTATTTATTAGGCTTATTTATAATTGAGCAGACTTACTGACTGCACATTTTCAAACAGTTCCTATAACAAAGGCATTCTCTTTAAGAGAAGCAAACATAAAATCACTTTGAAACACAGGACACTGCAACATTAAACTCACTGACCAAGCACATTCCTATGATCAGCAAAGATAAAGCAATGAGACACGAGATCAAAGTGGTATTCAGACAAATTTAAATCAGCTGATCTGTGAGGTTAAGTCCAGTCAGATCATTTTGAGTTACTGGCAAGAACTGAAATAAGTCTTCAAAAAAAGATCTTTTGTTACATCAAAACACACATGCTGTATTCCAGGAACTGCCAAAAGTGAACTTAACAGTGAAGGACAGATCTTCTCTATTGTGAAAGAATTCTCTGGCTGCCAGGAGATTCCTTCATAATTATAAACAACAATAACCATCACACTCTCACACTATCTGCATCTTGGAAAGGTACAGACTGAAGTAAAGCTCATCATCTGTGTTTTTCTTATCCTTTTTGTTCCCCACCTGATGCCAATTCTAAATTCAAAGAAATTAAGATTACATTGTTCCTGAGAGTAAAACTACATGCAATTTTGCAGTGCTCTTCCTCCCTAAATCTGATTGGTGTTTACTCTCATCTAATTTCTCTATCACAAGCCTGATGCTAGAGTGAGCTGCCGCAGACATGCCACCATTTCCAGATCACTCACTGCAGGGGCTAGCGATCTCTCCTTGCTCTATCCGCAATCTCTCCTCGCTAGAACCATTGCAACACAGGCACAAATATGGGGTTGCTGCAAAACGGCGTTTATTGAAATTCAACAGTGTCCTATATGCCCTCTGAAGTCTACTTGTTAGAATCCTATTGGTGGGTATCAGTCCAGGCTGTCCAGCACCAGTCCTACCATTGGCCCTTTCTTTGTTACATTCCATGGCAGCTATCTCCAGGCGGTGTCCATCTTCTTATTCCTTATCTTCGTGCTTCAGTTCCTTCTTCCTCGCTTAGTTTCTTCCTCAAGGCCAATGGACGCACTGTTCCAAGCACGTACCACAGTGCTGCACAACTCCTATACGCGCTTATGATGAGACATTCCAGCTGCCTGCACCGTGACAGCCCAAATCCCCGGTTAGTCGCCTAACAACAAGTGCTACAGTGAGCATCACAATTTCTGTGCCCTTCTTCTGAATTTAAATCAGACAGTGAGCAAAGAATATCATTCAACTGATGATGGAGAAAGAAGAGCAAAAAAGTTTCAAATTAAAAATTTATCAGTTCTTAACTTTTTCCTCATCTAAGCTTACCATCTGAGTAGTCCTGTGCACTTTCTCCTAACATACTCGGGAAGATGAAGCTAACACTGTATTTCACGAGAATGACTAAGCAAGGATGTTGAAAATAACCATGGATCTTGTCTGGAACAAGAATGAAAGTTCAGGATACTAAGCTAGAAATATTATTCTTTTAACTTGATTGGTTTTGTGTTCTAAAAGCTCTTGGGTAAGGTTTGTTACATTCTTGCTTTACCACATGCTCTTCTACAACAGAGACATGACTCTCTGTTCCCTACAACAGTTTAATACACTGATTCAATTTCAACTCAAAAATATATCCTCTTGTACCAATTGATTATGTACTTTACAGCTGTTGGAAAAGTCTGTCCGCCTGGTGATACCTTGAAAGTCAAAAGGAATCTCATGAGCCCATCAGTTATCCCCTAACACTCTGCTAATGGAAAGCCTCCTTTCATCTCTGCTGTCACTGGTTTCCACTTCATTTTTCACCACGTTTTCCTCAAGTCATTCTTGTTAAATTCAGTTCCACATCTTCATCTAATTTCTTGATATCTATGCTTTTTTTTTTTTTTTAATCAAATAAAATCAAATCTCTTTCATATCAGAACATAATTTAACCTTAACATAATATCTCTAGTCAGATATCTTAGATGTGGATTGGAAACAAAAACTTCAGAAAAGGTATCAGAACAACAGGACAAGAAGACATGAAAACTATTTCGCTCTCAGAAAGCTATCTGGTTCATGCCACCTATGAAGTGATTTAAACACACACCTATGACATTTCAATGTTGTCTCTGGATATATATATATATATGAATATGAATAAATATATCAAGGAATTCCTTTCAGCTGACACCCAGGGAAATCCAGCTTGTCTGATTCAGTAACTAAGTTGAGTTCACATCAAGTATTCAACTGGGAATTTCTAGAGGAAGTTGAAGATATCCACTGAACACTGAACTGACAAGAAATATAGTTTCTTCAAGTCATATATCTGCCTGTGCCTCCTTTGTATTATTATTATGAGCCTTTCTCAATAGTTATCTAAGCTCAAACAAGAAATGCTCCCTCTGGAAGTAATGAGGTTGAATGAAGGAGAAACAGAAAAGTAAAAAATTGCAGCCCTTTACTGATACACTTTATGAAAAAGGTCAGACTACACTTTAAACGCCAGACTTTCTTCAAGATTTTTTGCACAAAGTTTTAAGAACTACATCTATTTCCCAAGCTAATCTTTTTTTTCTGGCTTGTTAAAAATGAAGATGAAATTTCATGTGATTACTTAGAATAAACATCTATAACCTGCAGTACAAAAAGTTCATGTTGGCTTACAATTACAGAAATCGAATTTTTAAATTATTACAAATTAGACTATGAAGTTTATAAGACTTATGTCCTTTGAGTATACTTCCCAGGCTGTAGTATTAGAAATAAAATTATGAGCATAAATATACCACAAAATTATGTTGCATATTAGATGGTATGAAAAGAGCAGAGCTGAAGTTTATAAGGAAAATATACCAGTTTGGAGAAAGAGAACTGACACTGTCATTGATGTTTTGCAATCAGAGCAGCATGCCATACTCTAGAAGAAGTTAAAAAATCAAAGCAATTCATACTAGATAATATTTCTATGACTTTGATGGAAATAGATAAGTGACTAGACTGTGAAAAAATCCTATAAAAGTAAATAGCTTATAATAGGAACTGATCCTGTTTTTATTCCAGTTTTAAAACAAGAACTACTCTTGTTTTCCTTTTTAAACTTTTTTTTTTTCATTTAAAAAGGAACAAAAATGAAAATTGTGCATCCACAGAAACAATCTACATTGTAGCTACAGAATAACTGAAATAGAAAATGTCACTTCTCACACAGGTAGTAACCTGAATTGAATGAAGCTATTGTGGCACATGTTCCCAGTCACCAGGACATATTTCTTTAACAGAACACTATATTATGAAACTTTTCATGATGTTTTGGATGCAAAATATTTCAGTGTGCTCAAGAAGTTTAATCTATTCATAGAAATAGTTCTCCATGGTTATTTTATGAAACCATTACCACTTACTTAGGAAGTAGCTAAGCTGTAAACCAATCGCGGTAGTCTGTGAAGTATGTTGGAAGGGATTCAGATTTGTCCTAAATTTACTCACTTCCCTTGGTATTTGGTTTTGTTGACTACTGCTGACAACATCCTGGAACACCCAGATCTCTGGTAGCTGCTTGTTTTATGCTTCTTATGAGAGAAAGACAATGCACCACATCACTAAACTTCTAAAGGTAATGTCTACCACCAACATCCACTCCCAACTGTCTGTAAAGCTACATTTTCATCATGGACGTCTCAAAAAAATTTAATTTTATGGAAAAAAATTACAAGATTAAGTTTTTGTCTCCAAATATTTTTCTATGTGTATGGGAACTGCTGAGTCACAGCCTGAACCTCTGATTAATCACCTGAGGCAAGCAATGAGTCAGCCAGAGGAGCACAGGTGAAGGCAATCCACCTGTGCTGCCTGGCTCCACCCCTCCTAGACCTATTGAAGAGCTGGCAGAAAGTGTCTTGGTGAATGGCCCAGAAATAGCCAAGTTGGCCACCATGACTGTCCATTCTGCTCTCAGGCAGAGGTTATGTGTGGGTAATCAATACCTTGATGAAAACTGTTCTATAATAGAATGGTTAATGGCAGCTTGCCGTATGGTATGGCTGAATAAATCTGATATACTGCTACATACAGGGATGTGGTCCTCCATGGAGGACCTTCAGAATTATATCCGTGAACTGGGCATAAGGGAAGCTATCTATGAAGACACATTTGATGGCCCTGATATGGTCAAATTTTCAGCAGGGGTGAGAGATTTGATTCTACAGCAAGCTCCCTCTCATCTCTATGGTACTCTAGTCTCCATATTAAATCCCTGGTGGCCTCAGAAGCTGTAGTCCAGCAGGCTGCCCAGTTAGTGGCCGACCTGGGAGAAACAGAACGCCTGCAGACTAGGCGCAACATTCGGATGTTGGAGGAAGTGGAGGTCCTGCCAGTAAGTACAACCAAAAGGCTGGCTACTCGAGCTCCTCAATTGTGACCCATAAGGGTATCCCAAAAACAAATGTTTAATGATTTAATTTGGGCTGGGGTCCAATTTGCTAAGATTGACTGCCAGCCCAACCATGTCCTTCTCCAGCTCTGGAGACAACTAAAGGACAAT